CGGGCGGTGGCGGTGCCTGTCGTCTACGCGGTGATCTGCGCCGTGGGGCTGGCGGGCAACTCGGCGGTGCTGTACGTGCTGCTGCGGGCGCCCCGCATGAAGACCGTCACCAACCTGTTCATCCTCAACCTGGCCATCGCCGACGAGCTCTTCACGCTCGTGCTGCCCATCAACATCGCCGACTTCCTGCTGCGGCGGTGGCCCTTCGGGGAGCTCCTGTGCAAGCTGGTCGGGGCCATCGACCAGTACAACACCTTCTCCAGCCTCTACTTCCTCGCCGTCATGAGCGCCGACCGCTACCTGGTGGTGCTGGCCACCGCCGAGTCGCGCCCGGTGGCCGGTCGCACGTACGGCGCGGCGCGCGCGGTGAGCCTGGCGGTGTGGGCGCTCGTCACGGTCGTCGTGCTGCCCTTTGCCATCTTCGGGCGCCTCGACGACGAGCAGGGCCGGCGCCAGTGCGTGCTGGTCTTCCCGCAGCCCGAGGCCTTCTGGTGGCGGGCGAGCCGCCTCTACACGCTCATCCTGGGCTTCGCCATCCCGGTGTCCACCATCTGCGTCCTCTACACCACGCTGCTGTGCCGGCTGCGCGCCATGCGGCTGGACAGTCACGCCAAGGCCCTGGACCGCGCCAAGAAGCGGGTGACTTTCCTGGTGGTGGCCATCCTGGCCGTGTGCCTCCTCTGCTGGACGCCCTACCACCTGAGCACCGTGGTGGCGCTCACCACCGACCTGCCGCAGACGCCGCTGGTCATCGCCCTGTCCTACTTCATCACCAGCCTGAGCTACGCCAACAGCTGCCTCAACCCCTTCCTCTACGCCTTCCTGGACGACAGCTTCCGCAGGAACCTGCGCCAGCTGGTGGCCTGCCGCGCCGCCGCCTGACGCCCCAGCCCCCGCGCTCCCGCCCGCCGGGCCAGCCGCGGTCCCCGACAGGGAGCCGTCGCTTCCCTGCACACCCGGGGACATGCCGATTCTCAGGCTGCAGCCCAGAAGCAGAGAACCGAGGGCGCTATGGCTACCCTGCAATGCGCGTTCGTGAAGCCCTCCGGGCGAGCTGTGCGCTCCGGCGTGAGGACCTCTGCCCCGGTGGTGCTGGTCCTGAGCTCTGCCAAGAGCCCTCCGCGGTAGGGCAGAGGCGGAAGAAAGTCCGGGCGCCGCCAGGCGTCGCGTTAGCGCTTGCGTCTGCTCTTTGCTTATTCGCTTTCAGCAGCGACTGCGTGCTTCTCACGATGAGGAGCAGCTGGCCGGTTCCCTGGCCCTCCTCCGCGCCGCAGCAGCCACCCCTGATCTGGGCTGGGTGGGGTGGAGTGCGCGGGACCGCTGCTGGGCGGCCAAGGCTTCTCCGATGCGGAAGACCGAAGGATTCCGGATGCTAGGAGGTGTGTGCGGGCGTGTGTGTTGCGTGTGTGTCTTCGAAGGCGTGCAGGGCGGAGGCCGGAGCCTGGCTGTGACTGTCTAGAACAGTGTTAAGATAGTGACAATGCCCCCTCCCAGTCCAAGCCCCTTCTCTGCTATTTCCTTTTTCCACCCACGAACTCACTTAAAAATGCTCCATGACTGCTAGACTGCAGGGACCGGGACCTCCCGGGGATGAGGCCCGGAACCCGAAGGCGTCTTTTAGACGCGGAGTTCCAGCGCCCCCTGGCGTCCTAGCTGCCCCAGAGTGTCCTGGGACCCCGCCGCCGCGCACCGGCAGAGCGCTTCCTCTGACCGCGCTTCCCACCTGGGAGGGCCAACGCTGCTCCCCACAGGGAGCTCTGATTCCCCCAGACCCCGGGCCCCACTGGGCTTCTTGGACCAGTTCGTTGTAACGATCTGTGTGAGTACAGGTGTTCAAGGACCGAGAACTTCCTAAGTATTTCACCTGTGTCTGAGGATAGAATAAGATTTAAACATGCTGTCTATTCCCATGCTGGTTTTATTTCCCTTGTGTTCTTCCTCTTAGGTCAATCCCTGGGGGACTCCCGCCCACAGGCGCTGTGGGTTACCTGTGGCTCAGTAGGCACCTGGTAGGTGAGATCAAGTCCGGTAAATCTGGGGACTGTGGTTCTAGTCCCCTCGTGAGCACAGACCTTTAGATTATCTCCACTTGGGGAGACGCATGTGGGTTAAGAGAGAAAACTAGACACTTGTGGTGCTGGTGTGAACCACCCACCCGCAATTCACACCTCGGACTAACCAAACTCCGGACTACACTGTAGTGTTATTTTATTTTATTTTAGAGGTTTTTGCTATAGGGCGTGTGCACTCGCCAGAAAGAGAGAGACAGAGAAACAGAAAGCGAGAAATCATCCCCCAGGGGGGATGGCCACACCACAATCCCCTCTCCTCCATTCTTCTCTTGGGATCTTGGGCACGCCCGCACACGTGCCTGGCACATGCGCCTGGCCTGAGTTGAAGCCACCGGGTCCAGGACTCGAACAACGGTCAACTATATGGGAGTCCAGCAACACAGCCATTAACTAACTGCTGGTCCCTTCACTGTAGTGTTTTGAAAGGTGTTATTCTTCAAGATGAATTCCAACCAGAAATGAGCAAGTCTAAAAATACTTGCTTCCTATGATAGGCTTGGTGTTTGTGTGAGTGTGCCAGGGTTGTCAGCAGGCTTTGGTAATTTAGTTTGATGGGTGTTTTCAATGATTCAGACTTGATTTTTTTTTTCCCCTACAAGGCATGTGTGCTGGGCAGAGAGAGAGAAAGTGAGAAATCACCCCCATGGGGATGTCCACATTGCGTTTCTTTCTCTTTCAGTCTCCTCTTGGGAGCTTGGGCTCCGTGGCAGCATGCACCCAGCCTGTCTTTCAAGCTGCCCCTCCAGGACTTCAACCAGGGAGTCAGCCATGTGGATCCAGCGCCTTAACCTCCAGGCCACTTGCTGGCCTTCAAGGTATCATTTTAAAAATATGTGGAAGGGAAACCTGTCCCTGGAGAAGGAGGAAGGAATCCCCTTGCTGATCTTGGTGAATGAGAAGTGCTCCCCTAGCTCTCAAAGGTATTAGGAGCATTGAACTAATTCACCGCTGTAGTTTAGAACGTGAAAGTTGACAAACTTCTCTTGGTGGCAAAGATGGTCAATTGTTTAAAGTCTTTCACCTCCAGTGCATTGGATGACCTGTATCATGGCCTACAAACAGGCTTCTGCTGGTGGGCTTCAGAGACCACTTGGAATTCATTTCAGTATCATTCAAATTTCTAGGAAACATTCTGTTGCCTTTTTAAATAGCTCACAAAATTATTTTTATGAATTTTCTGTAGTTTTTCAAAATTAAACTTTTTACTTTCTAAACAATGCTTTCCTTTATTCATGATAGTGTGCACACCAGGAGAGTGGGAACGAGAGAGGAGAGAGGGATACCCTCCGCAGTCTGGCCCTGCTGTGATTCCCCGCCTCCATCTGCCAGCCGTTCTGGGCCTGGGCACCTGAGCAGGCCGACCCGGCCAGGGATTCCAACCACAGTTGCCATGTGGACCAGGCTCCAGCAAGGTATTACCCCTGTACCCACATTTTAGATTTAGAGCAACTTCCATACTAAGATCACGGACAGAGAGTAAGGTGGACTTTTGGCTATGAACACAGTCAGATGTGATCATCTGGATTTGAAACCTCACCTGTCTTCTCCACTCAGTGACCACACTGACAGTCTCTGGAGACGGGTGCGGGGACCACCTTGTGCCTGCTGTGTGTCGGCTGAAGCTGTCTGGGATCTAGGGGGAGGACTGCTGCAGAGGCTCATGGACAGCACTGCTGTGAGGGCCACAGCCAGGTGGGGGCCGGCTCCCCAGAGTGCACGCTCAGTCTCACCTGGCCTTCCCAGTCAGGGGTACACGGTTGGATCGTTACTTCGGGTCATTGCCCTACACATGAGCATGCAGGAGTCCAGACTGTACGTCCATGCTTCCTTTCTATGTCATAGGTAAGAAGAGACCAAACATGCAAATAAACTACGGACAGGCAGAATTTATTTACATCACTGTATTGCAGAGGTTTTTAACTGTGTTGCATTCTTGCCGTCTTTGTGTGAAATATATGGTTTGGTTTTTACCACGTCTCTCAAATTTAAAAATGTCTGTTTTCATTTGATTTTGTACAGCTATCTAATGAATGCACTTATGCTTTCTCTTGAGAAATGCAGGAATTTTGCTAGTCCGTTGCAGATGAGCTCAGTTTATAATAAAAGCTGAAACCCTCGTGTGATACGTGGACCTTCTGTTTCCTGAGAATGTGGGATTCATGACTCAGTCACCTTAGCATGTATGCATTGTTAATTTTTTTTAAAAGTATTGCCTTTTTGGGAAAAGTTATCTAATGGATAAGTAATGAATACACAGAAGTATTGGACGGAGAAGATTAAGAATCACATTCCTTCTCCTCTCACCTTTTAATTTGGTTAATTGAGGAAAATAATGCAAAGTTGCTGATTGACACAGAGATGCTGTTGTGGAAGGTTAGCTGGGCAGAGACAGGATAAGCTTTTATCATAATCACAATCCTCGCTTCTTCAATATCTGAGCAGCTATATAGAAGGTGAGAGGGGAGAGAAGCTGCTTCAATTGTGAGCGTACACATCGCTATTTCAGTTAGTGGTATGCACAGACACGACACGAATATATGGAAGGTGGGAGATCTACTTATTTATTTATTTAAGGTTTTGCTATAGGGCATGCACTTGCTGGAGAGAGACGAGAGACAGAGAGAAGGAAAGTGAAAGGGATGGGTACACCACAATCCCTTCCCCCCCATCTCCTCCTGGGATTTTGGGCACACACATACATGTGCCCAGTGTGAGTTTCAGGCTGCCGGGTCTGGGACTCCAACCGTGGTTTACCATGTGGGAATCCAGTGACACCACCTGCTGGCCCCCCTCACACTTATTTTTAAAGTTTATTTGTTTATTTCTTCCATGAGTGCATGTGTAAGAGAGAGAGAGAGAGAGAGAGAGAGAGAGAGAGACAGCATTCCAAGGGGATCTTTTTTTTTTTTTTTTTTTTTTTAAAGGGTTTTTTTTTTTGGGCCCGGTTTTGGGCATGCATGGCCACACG